TCTTCAAACTACGCAATACGAGATATTTTTATGGTGATTCCCCACTTATACATTTTGACTTGTTTTTCCTTGCAGAAAGTTTGAAAGGGCTTCCAGCCCAGTGATGCAGAAATGCCATAAAATAATGTTTGAAAAACAGAAGATGTTTGACCTTGAGGCTTGATACTGTCTGCTGTCCTCAGAGGACTGTCTGGGTTCTGACTGTGCACGCAAGCATGCACGCACCGAGGGTGTGTGGGGGTGGTGGTGGGGGTGTGTGTGTGTGTGTGTGTGTGTGTGTGTGTGTGTGTCTCTATGGGGATGTCTGAGAGAGACAAAAAGAACAGAAAGGAAAAGGAAAAGGAAAAGCAATAAACTTCTTCCACGGAAATCACCTCATGCTCCAGATTATATTTTACTTTTTCATTCATTTACATTTAGACTCCCGTCTGTGTACTGTATGTTTAAATTACAGTAGCTTCTCTGACACATAGTGTTTTGTTCAGTGTCGCTAAGACTACGTTTCCCATAAAACTGTGTAACATAAACTGTGATCATTTCCTATAAACTAAGGAACTGTATTGGTTTTTTACATGGGATGAAAGAAAATATGTTTTTACCAACAGAAATCAAATTTATTCTACACAGTGGTGGAGTTAGTATTCAAATCACCTACTTAAGTAAGAATAGCATTGTCTCACGTGTTTTACTAATACTTTTACTTGTAAGCAATTATTTAGTATCTTAAAATGTTGTACTTAAATGAGCATATTTACTCATGCTGTTATCTGTAAGACAACTTACAGAAGAAAAATGATTGATTTTGCTCATATTTGGGATGTTATCTGTCTTGCTAAATTGAATCCACTCAGTTAGTTGAGTCACTCTGTTAGTTAGTTGAGGCTAGCATTAGCTAGCTAGTGTTAGCTAACGTTATCAAACTTTAGATGGATATTGCTGTGTGACTGACGTTACTGTCATTTCACTGACATTATGACTCTAATTGAGACTTAGTATTAGCTCTTTTTTTGTGGCTGCTGTTAAGGAAATGTCACAGTTTTGCTTTAGTTATAGCTAACTAAGTTTACTACAGTTGTCTTTATGGAAGCCAAGTCGATGTTTGGCAACTAAAGACAAAGAAAAGAAAGAACAAATGTAGTATAATTTATATAATAGTTATTAAGACATTGACAATATACAAAATAAAATCACAGCTCTTGGAATTTGAAAATTGCATTCAGCTCTTCTCTAAACCCCCAACCATTTATTTTCTTGTCTTAACTGAAAATGACAAATATCACGCAGGAAAGTGTGAGTGGGTGGTTTGTAGAGAGCAGTGGAGGGTTTCCAGTGTTCATTCAGTGGTGTGTTGTAATGCTAACTAATCAGACATAATATGGTATTACAGTTACGTTAACACTGATTGTGTCTCCTTTATACAAACACGGTCCCACTGATATCTGATGTCAGGTTCTGTAACATATTGCAGAAGTGGACAAAGAGACAAAACAAAGAAAGCAACGTGAAGTGGCAGCTGAAGAGTGATCGACAAGGAGGGAACGTAGACAGAGAAGGAAAACAGTCTCTGACTCTGCAGTTGATGTGTCTGCTGTTGCGTGTGCGTGTATTTGTTTGTGTGGTTTCAGCTGAATAGGCATTCAGTCATTCACAGGTGTCGTACCTTTACAGACTGCAGAGTGGATACAGCCATAAAGAAACACCTGCTCTCGCAAACACACTCACACTAGGTCGAGTGCACCCTGAACTCACAGTTAATGCACACTTGTTAATGATTCATGATATCCACCATTACCCTGACATTGGCCCTGTGCCAAAAATACATTTGTGTCCTTGTGTCTTGATATGAGTTAGTAATACACGATACATCAGTCTGTCCCCTGGTATTTCAGGAACATAGACAGACAAGATACTGGGCAAGAAAAACCTGATCACATTGTACTTGATCCAGGTTTACTTTATCAAAGTGTATCACATAGATCAATATAATATTTCAACAGGAAATATCTGATAATTATCAATGGGGCGGCTGTGGCTCAGGAGGTTGAGCGGGTCGCCCGCTAGTCGGGAGGTCGGTGATTCTGTTCCCGGTTCCTTCAGTCCGCATTTCAAAGTGACCTTGGGCAAGATACTGAACCGATGTATCATCATCATGTGTCTGTATGGTAGAAAATGTGTGTTGGAAAAACCGCTGTATGAATGTGTGTGTGTGTGTGTGAATGGGGCTTCCATTGTAAAGTGCTTTGAGAGGTCGATAATACTAGAAAAGTGCAGTCCATTTACCATCGATGGACGTTTAGAGCTGGGGCAAAGGGGAAGTTAATGCTTGTATCTCTGTCCATTTACTCAGGTACTGTAATTAACTACAACTTGAGGTACTTGTTACTACTTAACACTTCAACCCCGCTACATTTCACAGCGAAATATTGTACGTATTACTCCACTACATTTATCTCACTGCTATGATTATTATCCACTTTGAAGAACTCATATGCTTCTATGTTTATTTAATGCATTACAGATTAAACCTTCAAACCTTATGTAAAGCAGTTAAAATTAGCACCACATTAACCAACTGCAACAGTGACATATTTAATTAAAAAAATCTTAACTTTAAGTCCAGTTGTTAGCTTTTTCCACTGCTTTCTACCGCATCTCACAGTCTTCACACACACACACACACAGAGAAATTCAGTTTTTAATGTGTGTCATATTTGTGTGAATTTAGAAGTCAAATGAACTAATGGTAGGAAGAGGAAATTGGACTTAAATAGGGGAGTTAAAAACTGTTAGGAGTGGTGAGGCTGGTAGCCTAGAGTGTGGGGGGAGGGGACAGAAGACTGGAGAAGAAATGCGAAACATAGACACCGAGACAGCACAGAGTGAGGGGGCGAGAGAGAGAGAGAGAGAGAGTGAGGGCACAGCATGTCTGTGGGTGCTTTCCATTTTGCTAATTCATGCTTCCTCCCATCCTCGCTCCTCCGTGACCCAGAAACGGATCTCCCTCCGCCATCGTCGAGGATGTTCCAATCCCTTAAATGTGTCTCGGAGGAGAGAGAGGAGGCTCCCAGGGGAGATCAGAGCGAGGATTCACAGGTGTACCCCGTGTGGAAGAAAAAAAAAAAAAAAAAACCTCTTTGATCGAAAGCTGTTCACTGATTGGTCAGCGGATCTGAAGGGAGGCGACAGGGCCGTGCTGGAAACAGCTTTAATATTAATAACACTGCAGGATTTCTAGGCAGAATATCGTACCTGTAGTGACAGGAAGAGCAGTACCTGCAAAAGCTCTGACATTATTTATCTGTATTCAAAAAAATAAAATATGTATGTGTAGAATCTGAATCATGAAAATATTCTTTGCGGCTTTGTTTATTTTTCTTCTAGTTTTCTTCTTTTCCATTCCCGTCCAGCCCTATACAACCACACAGTTATAGATATTATTAATATTATTATTATCATTATAATATCGGTCTAAGCCTTAAAAGGACGTCAGACTCTTTTACACAGATTTTATTCTGAATATTTACAACTATTTTTATTGCTCCCTCACATCTGTTCTGTTTGTTAAGTAATAAACACAGTGTAATTGTCTGTTTTTGTTGTTTCCATCAGTCTGACGCCCTGACACTGCAGATATCTCCATTAAGCATCAGTCAACAGACACAGGCAGCGTTTTTCTTATGCTATACTCCTTATTTGTACATGTGTGACAGATGAGATGCTGCGTGTCAGGAGTAGTTGCCTTCTCCTCAAATCGACGGTGGAGGGAACGAGCATGTCCTATTTGGCAAATACAATTCTTCCATCCTGGCGTCTCCTCTCTGCTTCTCTCTCTCTCTCTCTCTCTCTCTCTCTCTCTCTCTCTCTCTCTCTCTCTCTCAGGGAGACACACGAGTCAAATGGAAAGCACCCAGGAGAAAGATGCTGTGTTACGTTACATGAGAGAGCTTATTTCTGCTGGACAGACAGTTTTTAATAACGTCAGGTATCAGGATGCATCAGTATTGTCTGTTCTTGAGATTGACGGCATTACAATTTTATTTCCTGGTTATAAAACCTGTAAGAAAAGCAATGATTCTGAGTAATTCTGACACTTTCACAGCAGGAAGTTTGATGATGTGTTGATTAAAAGTAATATTAAATGTGTATTTTCTTTATATTTATCAATAGTGATGTGTGTGTATGTGTGTCCTGGTGTGTGTGCCTCTGCGGGTAGGGCACATGCATCAGTCCTCTAAAACATGTCCACCATCAGCAAAGCGTTGCGCGGGGGAACTGCAGATGCTGTCGTCCTCTTCTTGTGTAACCATGGTGATAGTCCCTTCAGCGACGTGTTGGTGTCTGCTTGCCTCACTGTCAAAAGATGTACACACACACACACACACACACACACACAGAGCCACACACGCAGGCAGGAGAGGCTGGGGTTTTGAGAAGAGGGACCTGCTTGATGGACGAGCAGTTGACAGAGCCGAGTGGCAGAGAGACAGATTCAGGTGCAGTTTTTCTGTCTGTCTCAACAAAGCCTGCAAGGACGCTGGATGTGTTTAGTTAGTTTGACTTTGTTGTACACAGGACTGCTGTGGCTGCAGGTACCAGGCTTTTACCATAGTGAGTCCGCCAGCACCTCAGGGAGCTGCACCCAGAGGGCAGCGCAGTGGGTGTGTGATGGCCTCACAATTGGGTAACAGAAGCTCGTAGGTCACGTATCCTATCTCTGTTTTTTAACCTTTTTTTTTTTCCACATATGTTACACCTGAAAATGTAAGTAACCTGCAGCATGGGCCACATGGCAACAGAGAAATCTGATGGGAAGTTTAAAAATACCAACATGAATCTGTTAATGTTCCCTGCAGGAGCATGGATAGAGTCTAAACAAATGGATTTGATGTTTGCTTGCTGAAGCGAAACAGTTGTGGCAGAATAAAAAGAAAAGCTGGTCTCACGATGCCTCTGTATTCTTGACTGGCGATGATGGTGACTGTGCTCTTCATCTCCTTTAGGTCCAGGGATGATGTCATCGGGCGGATACCAAGACGCACCTGGACAGCCTGCCTTCAGCTCTGACAACCTGTCTGGTAAGGGTGGGTGGAGGGAGCGCTGGTTATTCATCACACAGTCAGAAGGTGTTTGCGTAGAAGTTCGAATAACGATAATAAAAGTCCTCAAAAGAACACGTTCCATGTGTTCATGTACAGTCACAAGTAAAAGCTTAAAATGTTCAAGTGTACCAAAAACTATAGACCCACAATGTAATGACATACTGTGCATACTGGTCACATGGTATAAATACTAAAACAAGCAATGATTTCTTACATTATTCTCAATACAAACATATTGAACTCTAAATGTTGTAAAAACCAAAGATTATTACGTAAATATATACCAGAAAATTGCATAAACAAAAGAGGGTCTATATACAACCACTAATGCTGCTAACAAACAACGTAAGCAAATACAAAATGCTAACACGCAGCGGTCTTATATGTCTGCTGGTCACGGATTTTGGTCTCAACAGACTGTTCATCTGAGACTGGGTCTGAGGCTCTGGCTGAGCAGCGGTGGTGGGCAGGGCACAAGGTGCTTCCAGCCCCTTTTCAGTTTGTTTTTTTTAACTGGGAAAACCGTGTTAAACAAAAGAGTATTTTTACATAGTTTGAAATTTGTCTGGAGGGGAACTTTTAGTGGGAGATGTCAGATCACAGCGAATCATCAACCCTGTGCGTTATTGCCACGCCATCTCCCTCCGGCTGCAGATGTGAGGTGTGGTGTGTTCAGGTCGTGCACAATCTAGACAACAGTATGAATTCCTACAGGAGCCTTTGTTGAGCTGTTGTTGTCATGTGACACTGCGAGTGTCACAGCTGTGTCAGAACAACGAGACTAGACACTGATGTGACTGGATAAGGGTGAATTTATTAACACCCTCCAATTTTATATTCCGCCTCACCCGGGCCTTTTGCATTTTGTGCTGCTGCACCCACATGAACCAAAAAACAACAGGTGCTCTTTTAATTAATGGTTGAACTATTACAGTCTAACAAATCATAAAACACCACTTATCCTACTTTATTTTTTATACTTAAATCAAACCAGTCTTTCTTTTTTTTTAATCAAAATAAATCGCAGCAAGCATTATGTATATACTGTTTATAGCAACAGTGTGTACAATTTCCACAGAGGCAGTTGTGTGTTGATGGTGTAACGCTGTGTTTTGTCTCTTCATCAGGCTTCTCTCAGTCTGGGACGGGAGGGACAATGGGGTCCAGCCTGCCACCGTTTCAGACCAGTATGAGCTCCCCTTTCGGCCAGTCTGGGATTGGTCTAACTATGGACACCCAGAAGAGTTCAGGCCTGTTTGGTGTGGAAAACAAAACCACCAGTAATACCAGTGGAAGCAGTCCGTTTAAGACCAGTGATCCATTTTCTTCTGGTGGCCCAGGAATCCACTCTATGGATTATTCCACAGGTATCAAACAGAGGGTTAGTTGCTTGTCAGGCTGCGTTCACTCAGACGTTTGCTCTGCGCCCTTCTCATCCATTTGAAAGGGGGAGGTGGGCTAAAGCAGAGAGGGGGCATTGTTCAGCAAAAAAGTTGAACCTGGTTCAGCTTTTTCTGCAACGCAACATTACGTCACATACATGCAAGCACGCATGCAAGCCTGTTCCTACAGCTGGACTTCCTGGATCGTATTTCATTGTCCTACTGGTACATGAAACAATGCACCCCCACCACCACCACCACCACCACCACCACCAACAACAATAACAACAACAACGCAGCCCCTTGCGTTGCTTAAACGCAGGGCAAATGTGTGTCTGTGTGAACGCAGCCTGACATTGAGGGGGCGGAGATAGGAGAGAGGAGGAAGTCTCTTTTGGGATTCATAAACCTTTCTAGACTAAATCTCAGCTGAACAGTTCACCTGACACTTGGCATTCAAATTCATTCAAATACTGAACAGGTGTTTTCATATATACTTTAGGGTTGATTGGATTCGTCACACCTTTACAGAGCAGGGTGGAGCTACAGCCGTGGCACAAATTGAAAAATCTAAGTCGTCTAAGTCTGGTCATATCTTGCATACCCTGTATTTAATCTGGCCTGGGTGTCTGTGGAAGGACAGCAGGAGCAAATGGTGATAGCAGCAGAGTAACAGCCTAATCACACAGGGTGAGCTTTCGCCAGCAGAGGGCAGCCTGTTCTAGTTGTTTCCCCTTTAGGTGGCTTCACGCTCTTAAATAATAAACATGGAGGTTAACCTCAGTAGTTACTGCAATCTGAACAGAAAACGGAAGCTATTAAGGAACTTATTGCTCTAGATGAAATTACTAGGAGCATTTGTTAATGTTTGTGATATCAATAGCTTCTTGAATGAAGTAATCAGCAGAGTTTTCTGGTTGCTGAGCAACAGTAACACAAACCCACACGAGGGTTTAACAGCAAAGACTGAGTCACAGCACGGTGAAGATTCTGTAATAGAGACGTTCATGCAGTGCTGCATATACTTATTTTATCATCTAAATATAATCAGAATGTGACTCCTGGCTTTAAAGTTCACATGAAAAAGAGGCAGTAAATAAATAAATCATCAGCTGCACTTCTTACATGTCTCTGAGTATCTAAGTTTCCACTGTAGCTATAACTTATTAAACATTAAGCCGGGGTTTTATTTTCGGCTCTTCTAGTTTGTTGTTGTGCTAAAGATAGCTCTGCTAGCTTAAAGGCAGGAAGCAGTACTGGCTGGTTGTTATGTTACAGTCAAAGTTCAGTTCACTGTTGGAGCAGATACGGTACATCAGTGACATATGTGACAATACACCACAAACAATTTGAACTTATAGTATTTCTTCTATAAAAACAGAGGTGCGTTCAGGACGGATTATCTGTTAGCCCACATGATGCGTAACACAGCAGTGATGGCTGCTGTAATGGCTGCCACACATCTAACTGAGTCTTGTTAGAAGGAAACATGTAGTTATGTTCGTTTAACCGTAAGAATAACTTCCTATTATGTATTACATTTTCAGGGAAGACACTGTAGTGATGTTACCATAGTGATGCTACTTAAAATTTCCGAGTTTAGCCATCAGAACAAATACCTGCAGACACGTAAATGTGGCAGTCCTATTACATATTTCAGATGACAACAACGAAGAGTAAAATGTACTGTAAGCTTTTGAAAGGAAAATCATTTATTTTTTCTTTTTTATTGAGTAAATGTTGTGTAGAATATTCAGCCTGTAGCCTGTGACCCCTGCAAGCTGTCTATATCAGTCTTTCAGTCTTTCATATATAGATTCCTACAGCCTGTACGATAAGATCCTTGTGCATGAGGGAGGTAGAAAACAAACCGTAATGACTGACATCTTATGGGTAGATCAACATGCACAGTTTTTGTGCCTTAAATGGCACAAATCACAAAAATAATTGGGAAAATGTTTGTTATCTCATGAGTGCAGAGTTACTAACTCCAGTGATCTGGTCAGAGTCATGGATTTTATAGGATCCAAACAACTGGAAGATGGTGCACAGAACCTGGTGAGGAAGTAATAATCACTAATTATTAATATAATATCTAGAACTAGTGCAGCAGTCAAACAGCAGGAATTTCATGCAGTATAACGTTTCGTGTTGCATGTATGAGGGGCGACTCATTTCTCAGTAGCTACCTGTAGAGCTAACTCCGTGAGCACATTGCTGCTAATGTAAGTGTAAGTTGAAGTGCAGCAGACAAATTTACCTTTTAACAGTATTTTGGCTTGTTTCTAGCAAACATGACATAGTGGCAATGTGTTTTCTACACCCCTGCAGCAGGTGCATCCTAGACTGTTTGTAAATGAGGAAACGCATCTGTTCCACCTGATTTCACTTTTATTCAAATTATGACATTATAAAATAGCCCGCCCTGCAGACATAATATCACACTTATTACAAGTAGCTGCAAGTCTGTTTATATTTTTCACAGCAAACAGTTTTAGTGGTCACAGCAGGGAAAGCACAAGTGTAACTAATAACATTAATGCTGGCTTTGTTCTATTCAAGTGTCCCAGTAAGCCGTGACAGTGAGCCAGCAAACAAAATACCAGACTTCCAAGAAAAAAGGCCTCCTATACTCATTTTAAATGTAATTTAATGCCATTAATATTGAAGTGCAAATCGTAAGACTAATCTCATGTGAAGTCTTCTAACATCTACACCACTGATAGCAACATTTAGCATTAATTGATCTAAAGGTAGGCTGATAAAAAGATATTTAAAATGTTTTTCTTCAGCAAAATGTAGCTGATTTAAAGGCTGCATCATGTCTTTCTCTTAGTTGCCCTTTCGTAAAGCTTTTGTTTGGGTAGTTGAGTATGAGTAGTTTGGTTCTGTTGGCAGACAGAAAACAAGAAGGTTAAGTTTTGCGGTCATGGCACGTCACGTGAAGCAAAAAAAAAAGTCATGAAACTTTAAAAAGTTACCTTTTCACAGATGGAGTCTCTCTCTAGTCTGGTTGGATCTATCTGTGCTCTGTTTGACCAAATGCATTTTATCTGTTAGATGGGAACCCTGACTCTAAAATGAATTAAGCTAACCTAAAGCATTAACAAGTAGCATCAACCAAAGTTAATGGAACAGTTCAGGGGTTTTCATTTGACAGCTTGAATACTGTATAAAAACACAAAGAGCCCACCATCAGTCACCTGCTTTATAAATTTGAATAACTTCAGTTAAAAACTCATATTGTCATCCCTCTGATTCACCAGTTTTGCAGCCCAGGTGCATTTAAATTTATATATAAGACTTACTTTTGGAGCTACATGGAGCTATAGTACTTGACACTGATGATACATTCACCAACCAGCCTTCTGCTCTGTCTGTGTCGCCTCTTCTCATATACTGTGTTTGAGACTTTAAGCCCTCTACACACCTGTTCTTCTGTGTGCGCAGGTGCCAGTGGGATTCAGTGAAATCAAACCCCATTGCACAAAATTTCAGATTGCCTCTCACACACTGCACTCCTTCATAGGCGATGTGTTTGAAGCAGCCGGCTCTCCATCGTTAATGTTTCTCTTGGCAGTTTTCCAGACTCCAGATTAAGAAGAACTCCCATTAAATACCTTATCACATTAAATATAGATGATAATGCCCTGGCCTTGCCTCTTCTTTGAGCTGTTTATAGCCAGGGAAGCATCGGAGGCCGCGGGGAGAAAATAGCAACATCATTCAATTTACAAATGCAGGGAAAGGTGCCACATTTAGAGCGAAATGCACCTTTTTCTAGATTCCATTTAATATTCAGTTATGTAAGACAGAGTGAAAGGCAAGCTGGAGATGGGATGACGAAAACTGAGACAGAGGAAAAATAATTTGGGCAGGAAGAGGACATGATGAGCAGACTGAGATGGGCGTATAGGTCACATCATTTCCCCCTCTACCTGTCTGTTTCTATCTGTCTGTTCATCTCTCTGTCTCTCGTTCTCCTTGAGCTGAGGAAATACTTGTCAATAATAATTGAGAAATATGGCTCTGGAGGAAAACGCCGGGATGGTTTCCTCCTCAAACAAGAGAAGATTGTTGGAACAGACAAATGTTGGGATCATTTCAGTGCAAGCCGAACATGTTTCGTTTGCTTGCATGTGGGTCTGTGATACATTCCATATGTTAAGTGCATCATTTTGGTTGTTTCTGCACGTGTGACAATGATCCATGTTATTACCATGATTTGTCAGACTTGCATGCATTTATTTTTAATCATGCATGCTAGACCTAATTTAAAATGTGCTTGATTCATTTGCTTTGAAGCTCTTTTGCTCCCAGTGTGTTTGTTTTGCTCTGCTGTGTGAGCCTGCTCTATACGCAAGACTAGCTCTGCCCCCTGGATGATGATGATGATGATGATGATGATGATGATGATGATGATGATGATGATGATGATGATGATCAGGGGTTAAAGTGGGCTGGCACCTTCATAATAATAAATGTGGCAGTTTCATACATAACTGCGTGCCTGTTACTCAGGGTGCACATGATAGCATGTATGGTGCTCCAGTGTGATTTTTAACCTGTTGCATCACCTGCCAAATCCTACTTTAACCCTTGATGATGATGATGATGATAATGATGATGATGATGATGATGATGATGATGATGATGACGACGATCACACTGTATACTCGTTGTTTGGCTTGCTCAAAAAACATTCCATTCCAGACTCCATTCAGAATTTTCAGAATTGAAAATTTACAAAATATGATATGACCAGACGATGGATCTTTCAACTTATATTTCCTCCCATTTTACTATATTAATTGGGATTCATATAGGATGTAAGAAAGGATCTTAAAATAGTTTTAGGCCTCTTCTAAAGATACAAAATGTAGATATATAATACATCTCCAGTCACAGTCCGCTTTGGTTCTACACAGTTACCAAACCATTTGGCAAATCCGAATAAAAAGATTTATATGTTATGTAAATTAACAGTTTATTCAAACCAGTTTCACCCTGGCAGAGGTAGCCACGTTTCAACTGTGGCACAGCCAAGCAAATAAATCTGATCAATTTCGTATCACCTGATGCCCAGTGCTGAGCCATTATGCTGATGTGAAGTAGCACCTGTAAGTATCTGTCTTTATGTAAACTGATTATGCACGTATAGTCCAATGCAGTTTTTATTGAACCATAGTCGTAGACAGTCTGTAACAGGTGAGTAAAACAAATGCTGGTTAAATGTATTTATAAAAGCAGGCACCATCACATACATCACATTTTATGAAAATGTTCAAAGGGTGATGCCAAAGGAAGCTAAAAGCAAACAGACTGTGGTTACTATACTGGAAACACTCGGGGAGGCAAACTTAACCTTCATCATATTTCTTACACTGTATGCACAAGCAGCATAAGCAGCAGCCAAGATTAGAGCCATTGCTTAATGTGTCATTCAAGTGCTAACTCATGTTGCAATAACGCGTATTAAAATGCAGTTTTTGCTAAATGCAGTACTGTTATCATATGATTAAATATCAAAGTACCAGCCTGTAGTTGCTGCCCTGCAGTCTCTTCATGTCTCAGTGGATGTGCTGCAATAAAAGTTGTCATTTAGTTTCTAACCTCAGGAACAAATGGAAATACCACAAAGTTCAATGAGACTAGTAGAGTAGTATCTTCCTCCATCTTGATTTTGCATCTTATTTAACAGAATGATAAGAGTCAAGGCTGTAGGTTGTTTGTTAATGGCCATGCATTATGTATGTGTTCAGCGCTGAGCTTGCCTTTACGTTCTTTTACTAATGACTTAAAACATTTTCCTAGGGATCAGACTCAGACAAGCTCATATAAACCTTTTATATCTGCAAGCAAAACAACGGTACCATGAATTGGAGTTTAGTCTACTGTTGCTTAATTAATCGGAGATGAGGAAATGGCTTCTCTTAAAGAGTACCCCACCCATTTGGCAATGTAGTACATTGTCAGTCTCACAATGCAAACTGATGCGAAACCAGTCAGCAAGACTTTTTTATTCCACACATTCTTGTTCCTTGCCAAAACCTATCACCTACATTACCCACAATGCAACTTGACCACCAACATTGGACATAGAATTTGGGTGGGTTATGGTAATAGCGGCTAATTTAGCCTTGAGCAGCTACCCTCAAGCAGAGATGAGGAGTGGGCTACATAGGTGTGGTGAACTAATTTCTTACTAACTCCACACTCCCAGACTGCACAACTTGTTTTATATTTGTAGTTGTAGTACTCCCCAACACCTGTGAACAGATGATGTTAAAAATAGATGGAGTTCCCCTTAAAAAATAAGGTCACCTCAGACTTCCAACCAGCTATTTATATATGTGCAAACAATCCAAGGGGCTGCACACCCCGGCTCTTTACAAATCCTGACACATTCATTGGGACGTACCCTTATCCCAACTATTGTACTAACCCTGTTTTATTCAACATACCTTCAACTTCCATGCAAAAGCATAAAAACTCTGTGTAAGTGTATCCTCTCAAAAACCAATAGTCCACCTTCAGATATTGGTAATTCTGTAAGATTCACTCCTTTTATTGGACCAGTCATTTACTCGTTTACTGTAAACGAAACAGCAAACAAGTTACACCACATTCAAACATGAAGTAACAGGAACACCTATAGTAACCACAGACTGGTGGCTTTTTGGCAGGTGATTCTCTGACACAGTATGTGATGGGTTCCTCCTCTTATAAAACCCTCCCCCATTCGGCAGCTCCTGTCCTCTCTCCCAGCGGCTCAATAGATGACATCAGTCCCACATCCTCCGCCTCCGAAGAGAGCCCCGAGAGAGCAGGGCCGGGGGGCGAGTCTGGGAAGCAACAGCAGAGACGACGCAAGAAGAGGAGGAAGGGCCACGATGAGGTCTACGACTTCTTGGGTAGCCAGGAGAATAACATCGGCCAATCAGACAAGCATGGGATGCAGGATAAGGGCGGACAGGAGGCTGAGGATAATGAAGACGAGGAGGAGAACTGGGAGTGGGAGATCAGAGAGAGTGGAGGAGGGGGTAGAGTAAAAGGCAGGAAGACTAAGAGTCGGGCAAGACTTCCAGAGGAGTGGGGAGCGCCCCAGCAGCCCATGTCTCCTACACCGGCTTCAGTTGCTCCTACCTGGGCTACAGCTGCTGACTCTGGTCCACCTGACTTCAAAGCTCCAAACTCCAACCCCAGCCCTGTTTTGCCCTCTGCCTCTGCACAAATACCCACAAGTTTCACCAACCATTCCCATGCTAGCCTCGTAACAGATTCGTCTCCATGCTCCTACGAGCCCATGTGTGTAGACGATTTCCCTGCGGCCGCTAAAGACAGGCAAAAGGCAAACGAAGAGAAAGTTTCAACCAGCAAACCTGAAGCTAACGTTAGCGTAGTGGCTAGTGCAAGAACCACTGAGGGTAGTTTAGCTGGGGATGTTAGTGGTAGTCTAGCATTAATGACAGGGGACAATCTGAGTCCAGTTTCCCAGACCTTCTCTTTCCTCGATTCAGTCCTCCAGACCCCTCAGGACTCCACCCCTGACTCACAGACCACCACCCCAATCACCAACACCCCTTCCCTTGCTTCTGCTCCTCTGACAAAGTTCGCCCCGAAAGAAACCGCCATTCCTGTTTCAGAAGTCTTTTCTGTACCCAAGAGCACCCCAGACCTCACTCCTACTTCCACATTGTCCACCGTCCCAGCCGCAGTCACATCGGCCCTCAGTGTCGACGCCAAGCCATTTGTCCCCTCAGCCACGCCCCTTAGTTCAGCTCTTCCTTGTAAGAGTGAAGTCCCTCCCACCTCATCATCAGACACTCCCCCCACAAGTGTAGCCACACCCCTTAGCTCAGCCCTACACCCTCCCTCCATCACCCCCACAGCCCCTCCCTCTCTCCCTGCACACTCAGAGCACCAGGAGTCCTCATCGCCACAGCTCCCCCCACTGGAAGGTTGGTGAACTACAGGCAAGATTATGAATAACATGGGCATAATTTGAACATAAGGGATTGTAGGCTAGGGTAGCAGGAAGTAGCAGTTAATTTTCTTCCTGTATGCATGGCTCTTTGTCTGTGGATTGAGCATCAGGTCTGCTTGGTGCTTAATCTATTCCTCCATGTATTTGTAATAACCGAGGCCCGAGAGATAAATGCAGAACAACTTATGCTTTATTTTAAACACAAATCCACTCTTTGTTACTATTCACAAAAGATGGCATCTTTAAAAATATTAAGTCTTACCTGAGATATTTACTGGAAAAAACATTTGTGTCCACGTATATCTCTCTTACCAAGTGCTGACATGAGTACGGGACACAAATGTGCTGTGCTGATCGGGCCCTGTATTAACAAAACTGCAAGGGTAAACCGATAAGTTGCCTGATTTGATTTCCCTCTGCCTGCCTCTGTGTATCTGTTACCATGATCATAGCAATTTTATTACTTGACCTGCTGCTTCTGATAGCTCTACTGTCTGTGCTTGCTGCACTGTCTACTGTTTCATCTAACTGTCAGCTCCATGTCTAACCTCCCACTGTCTTCTCTCTGTCTATAGAAACACACATATACACACATACATATGGTTATATATATGAAAGCCAAATTAGTTTAGTGTTGACAATTGATTTATTAATAATTTAAAACACGGTTCATGTCGGTCAGACACAACTTGCAATCATCCAATTTTCTTGATGCCTCTTTGATTTATTGTGTGTATATATTTTGTGTTTCTATTGTAATTGTTTATAATGTATTTGACTCGACGATAATTTTTTGTGTAGATGTAGAAATGCTCATTTTAAGAGATTGTAGAATATTTATATACAGGCTGCAAATCTGGTATTTGCTGCCTGCTAAAGACTAAAATGGAGTAAGTGGATATCTTTTAATTCAGTGTCCAAAATGCACCAGTCAGCTATGATGTGAACTTGTAGATATACTGTATTTACAAGAGTTATAGTTTCACTAAATTTCTTAACTCAAGGTCCTCCTTACTAGATATCTTCCACCACAAATCTCTGCCTTCATCACCATCAGTGAGTGATGCCACCTGCGAGTGACCACAGTTTTCACCAGTCTGTTTATTTGTCAGCAAAAAGCACTGAACTGATTTTCACCAAACTTTAGAGGAGGGGTGGGGCATGAGCCAGCGAAGAAACCATTAAATATTAAGGCTGATCCGGATCATTTACTGTGAATTGTTTTACTCTGAAGTCTGGTGTATGTTGTTTGACATTGGCCTTGGCGGAGGTCTGCGCTCTCTCTGTGCCCTTCCACTTAGTTTATGTGATGACAAGTGAACCATTTCAAATTAAATTGAGCAAACGCAGTCCACCACTGAAGGAATGAAAGCTGTGGAAGAAAACTAATAAGATGACTTTGAGTTAAGGTCAGGAATAAATTTTCAAGCTCATAGTTACAGAATCTAAAATTAAATGATTTTTAACCACTTGTACCATGATTCTTCAATGTAAAGATACAGTGACGTTTATAGGTGCAGATGTTTTTTGTTCCTGTTTAAATCCTAGTCCAGGTTAAAATCTCATTGGTGTCCTAAATGACAAATGAAACTTCAGACGCCAGTTGTCATTGCAAAAAGAATGGCACAACTACAGACTGTGTGTCTATAATAGCTATGTCTAAGGCATTTGACAGATATAGCTGACCGCCTTAATTAGTGTAATAACCATGTAGTAGCCAGCAGTCCGATGTCCACTGCTTTAGCTAGCTGCCGTCTTGGTCCTCCTGACCTCTTGTACAGTGGGGAGAACCCTGAGAGGAGCTCAGTCTTATGCCTCTTCCATCTGGTGATGCTGGGTTTCAGTCCTGCGCTCTATATCTACATCCCACAGTCTGTCAAATGAACCTTTATTTTCCAATGTGATTCCCTTTTTTACGCTTCCCCTCAGCCCCTTTCTCACGACTACAACCCGACCAATACTTAACATTGTTAGAAAAAATGTGTGTTAAATGTTCTTAATGTAACTGTTTTCGTCACTCAATTGAATCTAACCCTGTAGCTCAGCCTGTAGCGTCTGAACTCTCTAAACTAATAGTAGCATTCACTAACACGATGCTGTCTTGTACAGTGGCCCTCTAGCTGTAATGACGACAAATATCTAAAACGTCCTAAATTCTAAATGGAGTTTTGAAGCACATTCATGATTTACATACGGAAGTTTAAGCTCTGAGGCACCGTTAGTGTTTATGTTGGAGAACTGTGTGTTTAACACAGTGAAGCTGATTCTTATTTGACTGAACATCATCTCTTGTTTTCTCTCTCCCCCTTTCCCTTTTCTCTCTTTCATAACGCCATCAATGATGCAACCTTGAACAACAGGTAAGACAAGTTTCTCTTTATTCTTATTGGGAACTTTGTTGATGTTAGACATCCCTGACCAAACAGTTGTCTTACTGTGGTTGTGTGGTGAATAACTGTTTCAATGAAGAACAAATGAAGGAATTTTGGCACTGTCTAATGTTAATGCGTGGAGTAGGAATTTTCATATTATCTTTTTTTTTGGTGCAAACTGAATCTCTGAAAGGCCAGTGGAGTCGGGCAGCGTGGAATTGTGGAAAGATAATATTATATATTGAATATTTTTTAAAAATAGAAGCATCATCACATTTTCTCCATGTGCAGCACGATAACACTCGAGGTCAGACTCGATGTGCGTTCCAAAGTTGGTGTTATGTGGAGAATGTTTTGGTGACCTGGGACTGAAATATTTTCACCAAATATTCAAAAATGTGTGTCACCCTCTTTTGTTGATGTTCGGGATAGGTTCTGATAAGTGGTTCCAACTTGGTTCCAGTTCCAAGGTTCAATAAGCTCTGTTGATAAAAGATCTCTTATCACATCTTTAATTCACATTCTCTGTTTAGTTGATATAAAAACAACAAGTTGGTTGGTTAATTGGTTGTTGCTTGATTAAAAGAAAGAAAGACACTGATGCTGTATACAACATAACTCAGCAACACTGTTATTAACAAACCTGTTCCCAAGTCAAAGTGAATTCTGTGACCCGTAGCAGTGCAACAACAAGCTCACCTTCAGGTAACTTTAAGTGCACTGTGCAGGTAAAACCTCAGCAGTTTATTCAGTTGATATTTACTGAATGATAAAGTAGAATTAATATTAATTTCACTGCAGTGCCATTTCCTCTCACAAGCACAGTTTGTTTTTTAAGTTTAAAAATCAGACACTAGTTGGTCTAAGTGGGTTTTGCATATATTTCTGAAACACATATTTCAAAGAGAAATGGATACGGCCGATACCACTAGATGCAGCTCTATTAATCAACGTGCGTATGCAGTATAAAGCAGTAAATGTGTGGTTAGTGATATATGAAGCTGCATAACAGCGCCCTGCTGTGGTAGATATGGGTCAACATGCCCGACAGTATCAGTCAGTGACGGCTGAAAATGAATGAAGTTATGAGTGAGCTGTATTGTTGAAGTTCTGTTATTGAGCTGTTTCAAGCATGACGTACCCTCCGGGGTCCACCAGATGGCATCACTTGGAAGATAATGATGTTGTATTTCACAGCACAGGGATTGGTGTGAGACTATTGTCACTGCAGAGATATGTGAGGCATCATATATTTAATAACAAAAAACTGTCAGTGAATCTTTAAAGAAACTCTGTGGTTCTTCATTCATCTCACTGCTTTAAGTCTGTGTTTGTTGAGAGCCTGTCTCTGCTGCCGAGGACAGCACCGTCCACGCTGTCCTCTCTGCTTATCCAGTCAGCACTAAGCTGTCCCAGGGTGAATGTGTCGCTCTATAGCTGATCCTCTCTCGGTGCTGGACCAGACAGAGATCTGGTGCTGCTACAGCGTAGTCATAGAAACATCACGGAGCTTGAAAAATGGAGGTTTTAATAAGATATTAGTGTAAACAGAAGTTTGTAGTAACATCTACCGCTCTGAGCATTTAATATCCATCAGTCTATAAAGTGTAATCACTAAGTTTGTGGTTCTTTCTGATTCTTTTTTGACACTAATAACCCCATTGAAATTAATTGATATTTAATAATTGAGTTATTAGAATCAGTGAGTGACTGGAGATTGTACTGTAGTATTTTAAGTCTGTAAACTGTTACTCCATTGAGTCTTTTTCTCTGAAAAGTACACTCAGTGGCCACTTTATTAGGTACACCTGTACAATCTAATGCAACAGCTCTGCCATAAAAGTTTTCAGTGTTCATCTTTTGTTACGTTTCTCTCAAGCTTGGATTTGGGCCGTTTATCCAATTCCTCCTGGCAGATCTTCTCAGGCTCCGTCAGATTGGATGTGATGCGTCTAGGAGCTGCACAGATGTTCTGTCGTGTTTAAATCTGGACTTTGGGACAGGACAGTCAGAGACTTGTCCCAAAGCCTTTCCAGCATTGTGTTGCCTGTTTGCTTTGGGTCATTGTCTTGCTGAAAGATGTTGCTGTTGCCCCAGACTCAGGTCACGTGATCGCTGGAGCAGGTTTTCTTCAAGGGCCTCTTTGTGTTTGGCTGTGTTCAACCTTCCCTCGGTTCTGACCAGTCTCTTTGTCCCTAATGCTGAGAAGCATCCCGCATAGCGCGATGCTGCCACCGTCACGCTTCACCGAAGGGATGGTGTAGGCCAGGTGATGAGCAGCGCCTGGTCTGCTCATCGTTCACTGTTTGTCTCATTAGACCAGAGACTCTCTTTCCTCGTGATCTCAGAGGCCTTTAAATGCAGCAAACTCCAAGCAGGCGGTCACAATCCTTTTCCCCAGAGTGGTTTACCTACAGCCACTTTACCATGAAGGCCTGATCGATGGAGAGCTCCTTCCAGCAGGTTCTCCCATCCCTCTTTATCTTGTCTGTCTATCTTGTCTGTCTGCCTGTACATCCCTCTAGCTTCTCTCAGATACAATATTGATATCTGTCACTCTTACATAATGCAAGGACATCCTCGCTTTCTACCGTGTGTGTAT